TTGATTTAGATCTATTCAAATCCTTTGATAAGTTTAGTTCATAGCTTATTAATTTATTGTAAATATCTAGGATTAAGTTAGCCATGTTGATAATTCAGTGGTGAATAAAGATATTAGTGGTTTTGTATTTTTTGTAGTTTTTGGTGTTGCTGATCACTTATTGAAAACGACGAATCACCCACACGGAATTTCATAGTTCATATTACTTCAACTCTATCAATAACTTATTCGTCACTTGTCAAGTAAATCAGCTCGATGTTCGATCATTTTTACATGATTACCTCACGTCCTAATTGGGGTCTAACAATACTCCACTCATATTTTGTTTATAATCAGGATTACAGAGTTTAAACAACATTTGTGTATGTTGTAATGAGTGTGTAGTGCATTTTCGAATTCATTTTATTCGGTGTACTCGTTGTGTTCATCGCCTCAGCTTATTTCATCCCGAGTTTCATTACTGTTTTATTTCATTAAATTAATCTGGTCACTTTATCTATTCATCGATTGATTAAATCATCGTAGGTGTTTTAATTGCATGCCGATTTTTGTCATTATGTATTTCTGTTTTTTAAAAAACTTAAATGATCTCCCACTTTTGATTTTAGTAATTTCAAATCGATCTAGTTCATCCAACGAGTGTGATAAAATTGGGCGTTTTAATCATCATCCCAAAGTGACAAAAAGTATTACCGCGCCCGCAAATATATCGAAAGCAAAGGAACAAACAGGTAAAATATCGCTTTCATATTTGTGATGTTATTGCTATACTTATTTTCCCTCATAATTGTTGATCAAAAACTCACCTCTGACATCATTCTTGGAAAAAATACGTTTATGCTCAAACATATCTTTGTTCAAAAGATATTGATAGTTTTTAATACCTGTAAACGTTCTAAATTCCGTGGGGTTTATGATCGACGTTTTTTGCATTACGAGCTCGCTTAATAGATTTCTAAACACTAGTGTAGTTGCGTTCTGAAAGCTAATTTCTATTTGATGATGCCCAGCAAGACAATGAAAACTTCATACTTGAATTATTCAGGTCATAGATTGCAACTCCTCCAAAACCACTTACTTGAACTACAAATCTTCTCCACCATCTCTAGATATTCTCTCGATATTTTGAAAGTGGTTATCAGTGGATTTCATTATCTTTGGACACATCAGGAAAAAAATCGTGGTACATTTAACTAATGAGTCTGAGATAGGACCACATTCTCATTCTAAATTCTAATGTTAGCCGTTATCCAAACTATTTACTATCTCTCATCGTTCATATTAAACGAGTACTCTTTGTAGTCTTCATTACTTAAGTTATTCTCTATTTTGAACTTTGCGTCAGAATCAGTACCCACGGAACATTTAACAACCTTTACAGTTTTTCTCATGCTTGTCTTTGACTTGCTTACTGGCTCTGCTTTAAATCTGTCGCTGTAATTTCTTGTGGAATCTGTTACACTAACTCATTTACATTCATTAACTAACCATAGATAAACAGTCATCCATCATAGATTATAAAAAGTTGTGCACTATCATGAATTGGTTGAAGTCAGACATTACACCATTGTGTGACGGCTCAGTGGTCTAGAGGTTAGGTGTTCTCGTGTGAGACTTATAGTCCTGTATTTGGTTCCCTGCGATTGGATTGTGGATCCTCGCTTTTCATGAGTTCCATTCTAAGATTAAACATGTGTTTATTGCTTCCAGGTTTCCCGTAGTAGTCTATCTAAACTCAGTTCGTAATTCAAATTATGAACGCTCCCCCTGTCGTAAAAATAGATCAGAGTGACGATTACCTTCGGAGTTCATTTATCTCTAGATCTGTTTTCAACATCTTTCATGAAATTATTACTGAATTGTAATCAAATCACATAAAATTTACGTTAACGATATAAAAATTTGTGATCATGATATTTTTAATGATTTATGGAAAAGTGATCTATTTCCTTAACTTTTTCAAATTTGATCAACTATTCAGTTGTATTTCTAAATTGTTCTAAATGATCATTTATGTGAAGATTTCGTTGTTGTTGTTGTAAAGAAACAACTTATACAATATTATTCAAAATAATGAATTGAAAATCTACTCAAATTTTTCAAGTCGATGATACATTTTTGTTACATCTGGTTTATTCAATAGCGAATTTTACATCAAACGTCTTAGATATTTTAATTCCAATATTCTATTGTCTCGATGTTTTATGTTCTTAACGGCTTTATTTAGTTAAGTGTACATCTTAAATGGTCTGTGGTGTGATTTTTTCCCATTTTTTTAAGCAGTTTTATGATACATAAAAGGGACCTAGTTTTAACACAGTTTACTTTTCAATTTGGATTTATGCCATTTAGTTTTCAGCTAGTTTAATATAATATACGAGTACTATAATGACACAATAGCTGACGTTCTCCAGGGTACAATATTCAGTTGATTGATGAATATTTTTACTGTGAGGTTACTTGTATATAGTTTTCAGACGTTTAACAATATATCATAGGATAACTTTTAAGCTAAACATTTAACCTAGTCAGTCAATTAGGAGAAAATAGCTCATTTTGATGTTCTCATGTAATTCCTGATTAAGTTCTCTGTTAATTCATTAGTCGAACGCTCAGTTGGCATATTATTTCATCTTTTCCTTCAAAGACTAAGCCGATTAATTAAGATAATCAACTGTGATTTTACTACTTGTGATTATTCTAAATCAAGGAAATTCTATGAATATCAATACCCAATCTCATCTGTTATAGCTAAGTTGGGAAATATGGTCCCACTTCCAGATTCCACTAGTTCTACATGTTCCGATTCTATTGAGAGACGATCTAGACAACCAACCATTTCTGTATTCGGACGTTTAACAATGTCTCGTTCTGTCACTACCTCTGGAAACGTTACGACAAATAAACCAAGACCTGCCCATTCGTCTGCTAGTACTGTGCATGTTCCCAAAAGACCTGGTAAGTTTGTATTTTTCTCCCAAGTACCATGCCAAATTGTCTAACCTTACGTTCCAAGCTGCTAACCTTCAGGAAGTCATTTTTCTCTGTTTCAACCTCATCACGCAGTCTTTAGTTCTAATGATATTTAAAGAGCTATGAGTGTCAGTGTCACAGTTCAGTTTTTTTCTTAGATTAGCAATTCATCATGGAATTACAGAATATCGATTTAGTTACTTTTCAAAATGTTTGTATATTCCCTTAATTTCACACTATACATCACTAATTTCGCTTTCTTGATAAGAAATTTAAAGTTCGCTGACTTTCAGATCAGTAGTTGTCTTGATAAGTTAAACTATGATTACATTGTACCACACTTCTCATGTATTGTATGAAGTTCATTAAATAAAATATAATTAGTAAGTTATAACATCTCGTATATTTTTCGCTCGTTATTCTCTACCATGTGAATGCAATTTTTACACATGATTTTTTACGTAAATAAAATAAAGATTTTTACAGAAGCAATATAATTAACCACGTTACTTAATCACATAGCCACATAATAATCGATTTAAATGAGTTAGTGGACTTTTTTTCTTCATTAAAATACTTCTGGATTATAGAGAACATGTGTACATAGTACATAGCAAATACGTAAAGCTACGTGAAAGATTAAATAATTGATACCTTTCTATTGTCTTTTTGAGCCTCATGCTCAATGCATAGCCTTTTTCATTGTGAAACTTCCCGTTTTGACATTCAGTAAATAAAGAAGGAACGTATCGAGCGAAGAAACTGTTTTCCAATTAGCTTTTCATCATAGCTCTACACTTATATATATATATATATATATATATATATATATATATATATATATATATATATATTACTCGTATTTTTTGTTAGCTTTTAGTTGGTTTACAGAAGTATAACGTAATGTGTTTGCATAAGCTACCATCATTTATATTCTGTCACTGTACCTATAGATGGACAAGCTGCTACTCTAGTGATCGAGAACATCAGCGAGTACAACCGAATGTATTTGAACTCAACATTACAGAATCTCATAGTAAAATCTGAGAACCATACAGTAAATTCTTCATGTGCAAAATGTCATTCGATTGTCTCAGACTTTACAGTTTTGTCGTTTCCACACCAATCACTCTCTGTTCTCATTCTCTTTTCTTTGATCTTGTTAACCTTCTACCACCAGACATTTCACTTTCGATTGGTGATATATACTATTTATATTTGTCGACATCATTAGCACACACTAGTTATAACATAATTAAACAAACAAATATTTTTACAAATGATTTACATTGTTTCCCCATCCATTTTTTAATTAACTTTCCAGAATGCATTCGAGAATGCAAACGTAATGGTAACTCTGTTATGCTACCTGCTATGTCTAAATCCATTTCTGGTGATGTACTACATCTGCGCAATCAGAAGAAATCAGTGCTCCCTTCAAAGCCCCTCTCACCACCCTCTTATCCAACCAAAATTCAGGTTAGTATTTGGTGTGTTTGAACATTTTTAAAATCCGTTTTTCACACTAATAATATAACAATCTGTGTTGTTCTTCTATATGTAACACATTTCTCGCTGCTGTATGATCAATCGTAACATGAATCGCTACGTATTTCTTGTTACTGTTATCTGTGTTAGAGTACTAACATATCAAACTTTCGTGCACAGGACGGGACTTGCTCACTTCTAGTACACATGGTCTGAAAGAAGCATGACTGGTAGTACACTCCTGCATTTATTTTCATTTCTGGAATTGAGTCATACTTTATTTTGTTATAACTAATATTTCTGTCCACCTGTGTCCTTTCGTCCTTATTATAATCTCTTATGCCTGAAGATTAGTTAAATGCTGACCGTTAGTCAAACGTCAGAGACTTCATGCTTCGTGAAAGCTGTTCAAATATACTCTTCTAAGCCACTTACATAGACCATCATTCTTACTTGAAAGCAGTAAACTGTCTTCATAAACCATTAATTCCAGTAATGTGTACTAATATTATCATTCTGAATGCCTATCATTATGTCGTTTTGATATCGTCAGAAATCCATCTATCTATGATGGCACACTTTTGTAGAGAAGCATTCAGTCAAGCTTAAAACTTTAAATGGATGCTGAGGTTTTCATTTTCAATGTATACCTAAAAAATGTTTTATTTGTATAGTGATATTACGATGTTGTAATAACGTCTGTCAATAGCTTTGTTGAACGTGGATTACTGCTTACTTTCTCAAGTTATTTATTGTTTAAATAGTAAATTGTCTTAGTTATCTGCAATTTAACTCGAAGTGTTCGTGAAGCGTTTGCTAAGTACTTTATTTAATTCTATCTATGTTTTCCTATAATTATATGGTTGATATTTCATCCATTTCGAAGGAACCAGAAACAGCTATTTCCAGTCTTCCCCCTTTACCTCAGTCTTCATCCGAGTCAAAAAGTGTTGCTCAAGTAGCTGAAGATATCTCTATTGCAACAGTGCCTTGCAACGACTCTGCTCCATCTCCATCTCAAGTTAATACTGTGAAGAATGAAACTTCGCCCATTATTCCACAAATAGGCCCAATTAAGGCTCAAACACATAGTTCAGGTGAAGGTGCAGTTTTATCTGAAAATGAAGCTGAAATCTATCGCGCTAAACTTTTTGAACAACGTCGCTTGGCAAAACAGCGAATGGAAGAAGAAAAAAGGTCAGTACATTTGGCATATATGTATAATTTTAGCTTGTTTACCGTACTTTCTATGGTACCAACACATGTTATGTCGGGTGGTGCTTAGACTACGACGTCTACGGCTTCTGGACCTCCCTCTACACTTGCAGTGTTAGTTATTCAAAAATTGAGTTTGTTTGTATATATATGATACTGAACGAGTCCTAGTCCATCCGCCAATTCCATCGGCTATGTCTGCTAGCCTATCAAAGTCGTCATCTTCGTGTCCAATTGCTAGTATCTGTTGGATGTTTTGCGTGAGACGTTTGAGCCACAGTTGATATAATAGGAGTTTTCTACTATACGATTCTCCAATACATTTGTCATGTGGCACTTTAATTGAGACGGTGTGCTGTCACCATGTTTTGCATTGGCTAAAAGTTTATCAATTTTCTTCTGGTCGGTGAGATAGGTAATACAAATGACCTACCTTCTTCAGCAATCGTATGGTGAGTCTGGATCTGGCTTAAAAATGACGTCAGGTACTCATTCAATAACGTCGTTCTCCCTACAACGAGTTTGCGTAGCTAAATCTCGTGCTCTGATTTGTGATTCTGTTTGCAACAAAAAAGCTTTCTAAGCGTGCAAACAAGAATTCAACCCTTTCGAGGGTTAAAAACAGGTAAAGGTACAGAAATGGCACCCACGGAAATAAACTTAGATGAGTATTAATCGATTGTGGATAAATCATTGGTTGTCTGTGTGTTACAACCAATGGGAGAATAGATAAATATTGATATGCAGACATGCGCTCAATCAGACTCACACATAATTTTACATAATGGATTAAATGTCTAAATTACAGCTAGTAGACAAATAAAATAGTTGAATGGGCTTAGTACAACCTCATTCTCACAACGTAGGCGACAAAGCACTAACGAAAGTATAGTAGATACAGATCGGGAGAGTGTTAGCATCGTACTCAATCCAATTTGAATAATCTGATATATGAAAGTAGACAGCGTATAAAATACACATACAGGCAAAGCATATATAATATTAATTTAATAGGGCTACAAATAACGGAATAGGATACATGTCCTTAAATTCGTAGAGCTTCTTTTTCTCAATATTCAACATTTTTGCAATATCTAGCATTTTTCCGTTCAATTAATGCATGAGTTCTGCACGTAAGGGTATAATTTTTACTGAGGATCTCATTTAAAACTACCTTTTTCATCAGATAAGTTGGGATGAGCTACAGTAGCATGTTCGCAGAAGACATAAAGATAACTTCAGATGATCAAAATGAAGTCCACAGTGAAAATTATACTATTACATTCAGTATTGATACTGGATGAACGGAACAATGCTAGATATCGCACTTTTATTAAACACAGAATGTCAGAAATACAATTTTCTACGCATTGGAATATCACAAAAATATATTTATTATTGGAAAAGGATGATTATTCTCATACGAAGTGACACATTGAAATATACCTTTATGGAAAATTACTAATGGCTTAGTACAGACATAGATCGGTTTATAGTTTAGGTAAATACAACATAAAACACTACACACTATTCCATCATAGAATAATCGAACGTCATAAAAGTATGTACTACTTAGTTATTTCATAATATGGAATGTTACTGTCCCAAATGTTAGTGGTCTGTTGGTAATTCAATCATTTACATCGATTGACTATATTCTTACATCCAGTTTTTATTTTAATTTAGGAATTTGTTAAAATAAGTAATTCAACTGAGTATTCAAACAAATTTTCGTGTGCAAAATTATGTAACATCAAGTAACCATTGATCGATAGTAATCCCTATATCTTTTTATTAATGTTGATTACTTGTGTTTGAACTAGTAATCAACTAGTTGATAGACTTAAATGATAATTATCGGGAAAGACTACACCCACTAAAAATGGCTTAAACAATATGCATGTATGCTGAGAGTTTTCACCTGATAAATGGTTCTATATTTGTACATTAATTACCCATTAAACAAAAAACCAACTCATCCATACAGCACAATTCATATTTAAGTATTGTTGACAGTTATTTCTCAATTTATTTGTTTAATGTGATTTAGAAATTATATATATTTTTAGACGATTGGATGAGGAGAATCGTAATCGACAAATCCAACAGGAGCAAGCTCGTTTAGCTGCTGAAGCTGAAGAAGCTCGTCTAAAAGAGGAACAGGCTGCTCGTCTAGCTGAAGAAGCTCAACGTGCAAAAGAAGCGGAAGAAGCCGCTAAGGTAATTATTTCCCTTTATCCTATCATTTCTCTATGAAGATAAGAGTATTTCATGTTTTATGAATGTTGAGACTACTATCTATTTACTCTTAACATTAATTTCAAGATTTTCATCTTGAATTATAGTGCTAAATAGTCCCAGTTTGCATTTAAGTATTAAACAGGAGTTCCTTCAGAATTTTTAGTGTAGCATCTAATCTCTTATTAGTGATGCAAACTAAAAATCAGGTTGTATACATTCATTAAACATTCATTCCAAATACAGGTAAGAACTTATAGTTCTCGTATAAATATCTTAATTGTTTCACAAATGACCTGTTTTATATTTCAAAGATGTAAGTACATGACTTTATCCCATGAAAACTTAATGTAATTTAGTGAAATATTGGTTTTTGTAAAATAGCTTTTAATTCTATTAGTTTTTACCATACAGCTTTTTATTTTGTACACTAAGAATGTACTTTAATATGATATAAATTATCTTTTAAGTACTTGTTTAATTATGGCTTTCTAAAACTCATAGATTAGTTTTCATTGTCGAAGCATTAAATGTTATCTCAATGGTTACTACTTTAATTTGTAGTAGTACTCTCATTCTTTTGTACTGTAATCATTTTAGCTCCAAGCAGAAGAATCAGAGCGCCTTGCGAAATTGCAACGTAGTGAAGAAGAGAGAATTTTACGCAAGAAAAAGCTGGACAGTATAATGTCTCGTATCAAAAGACCAGTAAGTACAGTGAACTTAACACCTGGGACAACTAGTGAATCTGAGTGTACAATGAATCTTCAATCAACAGATACCACACAGTCATCTTTAGTACCTTATACTATTGCTTCGCCTGATAAAATTGTTAACCAAGAACCAACTATAGATGTTGAAGCACCTAAGATGGAGATCAACGCATCAGAGATTTATGGAACTTCTAATGGCAGAGTAATTTTTACTTTTTATTTATTTATTTATTTGAACACATAAATATTTGTACAAAGGGGCACCAGATACATATGCACCATACAATAACAATGAGAATGGGAAGAGATAAAGAATGTAAGTTGGGTATAAAAGAAAAAAGTAACGACCACAAATTAGTGTATGATAATGAAAAAATAATAGTAACTGGCGAAACAGAAAGTTACAACCAGAAAGAATTCTTTCAGTCAAGGAAGTTACGGCCACTTTTTACGAGGAAAGTAAAAGAAGGTTACAGCAGGAACTCCACTGATTTCTATTCTGAGCCATATCTGATAACGTCTCTAGCCACTTTGTTGTACCATCTCTAGGACCCCAACCAGGGATTCGTGAGAGATTAACAAAAGCCATTTCTGTGCAGCTTTCTCTCATACCACGACACCATGTCATACACTGACCACCTTTCCCTTTTTTCAATCAGTTCCAGTGTCGGCAAATAGTGAATGACGTGAGGTTCTCTCGTACGACATTCGTAGGACATGCCCAAGCCACCGAAGTCGATGTTTCAAGACAGTGACACCAACTGAATTATTGTCGCTCTGTCTGAACACACGATACCGAAACCTCTGTATTGCTAACACGGTTTTGCCACTAGATGTCAGCAATCCTTCAGAGACAACGATGATCAAATAGAGTCGTCTTTTAACATGTTTAACTCTGAGGTCAGGTCTCACAATCATAGAGCAAAACTGCTGTCATCGACGTGCTGTAGATCTGACCTTTTACATCCAGACTAATATTACGAAGGCTCCATAGATGGCCCAGATTGGCATAAGCTGCTCTGGGTTTCACTATAAATGAATTGATCTTATCACCCACGCCACCATCAGCACTTATGCAGTTACTCAGACACATGAACTTCTCGACTACTTCAATCTTTTCACTACCCAGGTTAAGTGCAGGATTAGGGTCCTGCCAGTGTTGTAAAAGTACATTGCACTTGGAAGGTGCAAATCAAATACCATACCTACGGACACTAATTGCCAACTGATTAAGTGTGGATTGCATGGCTTTGGTATTATCGTACAGTAAGATAATATCATCCGCATACCCAAGGTCGAGAAGTCTTTCTCCAGGCAACAGACCCACACCATCATTACCTGCATCCATCAGAGCTGTTTCCAGAAGGTCATCGATGGCAAAGTTGAAGAGGAATGGTGAGATTAGGCAACCCTGTCTAACCCTACTACAGACTGTTTCGCTCACATCAGACCTCTTGCTGCCAGGTGGATCCTCCATATCCAACAACCCGGCTAAAGCGTCGAACATTCTTTTTTGGTCCTCTTAATTTCGTAAACAACATCCGCGCTATGAGAATGCAGTGAGTAAGACTTCCCTGACAGTAGCTGTATACGCGTGGCCATGTGATAGCATTTCGAGAGGGCGAGCAGACTCTTCCCACTCTCGAACGTACCAGGGCGTTGCCGGTGGAAAGTTGAACTAATCTTCGGTAGGTTTATATTTCAAATGGATTTATATGACTATTACGGTGGCTTATGAGTTTAGTTGTTTGGCTTCTGAAACACGAGTTTGAACGATACTTCACCTACATAGTTTTTCGCTTTTACAAAAACATCAGTTTGGTTGTTAATTGTTGTCCAATTTAAACGTTTTTATTTCTACCATTCATTCTTGTACATTTACGAAGCAATGGCCCAGTAGTCAGAACATATGGCTTCCAACCAACAGCTGAATGATATTACTAACCTTCACATTAATAATTTCTCAAATCCGAATACTCTAATCTTCCAGCAAGTAGTATCTGAATTCTCTCTGTGATTGCTTGGTTCTGCGTCAATCATAAATTACAGTACTGCTATTAAAACTCGACATTTATTATCCTTTGATGCTTGCTAACCAACATGAATATATTTTAGACGATTAGTCGTGTATTCCCTTTTCCACTGATTTGAAAGCCGCTTATTAGTTAGTATTTAAACTAACAATGTAAATAGCGGTCTGTTTGAATATCTGGGTTACCTGTTCCTGACATCTAGATATTTTAAAAATGTTATTTGTATTTTGTTTGTTTTAACACATCATGTTTATTAATCGCATAACCTAATCAGGAGCGTTTATGAGAAGTTTACGACCATTCTCTGTACAATCACAGAAGTCTTGGTGGTTGGCAATATGCATTGAAAATAATAGACAGTATTCGAGTTTCTATTCCTGAACTGTTAACATGTAGCTAACAATCACCCAATATTTGTCATCAGAATCGCTCATGAAATGAGAAACGAAACTTGTTGAAATGCTTTGTGCTTATTATTCTATATTGTACTAAGAATATAATATTGAACGAAGCCATTATTAATAATAAATAAAAATGATTCAGCTGAATCCTAACACCTAAATTTTCATTGATATTTCTTTATAGAGAATATCCTCAATAAATTTGAAGGAAGAAAACTAACCGTTATACACTTTTTGTGTTATTTGATTACAGCCTTCACTTGATGAAGAAACTGTCAACCAGTCTTCTCTTTCAAACACAATTATTGAAAACGATTTAAAAAGTAATGTAAATAACACTCTTGAAGATCACGTTCCCAGTACTACTACTGCCATCAATGGAGAAGCGAGCAATAATAAGGATACATCATTAAATTATCTGAATGATGGTGATACATCATCTCTCCTGTATCCATCACAAGCAATAAGAAATTCAGATTGTACAACGACAAAGAATAATTCTAATGCCAGTCCTAGTACACCCCAGTTCAAATCTGCATTGCTACAATCCATGCTAGGCACGGGTCGTTTGTCAACACATGCTAAAGATGCCGTGTGTGGATTAAGGTGAATTACTATTTTCCTTCCGAAAAAGGATCGTATATTTGCAGTATGAATTCTTGTTTCATAATTTGCCTTTTCATATATATATCACCAGAAAGCCTTTTGTTCACTCTAATAAAGGGTCTCTTAAAAATGTGTACATCAATAAGGGTGATTTAATGATAAGTCTTGCTGATTGAACGCTATACTCGGATCCTAAACTAGTTTCGTAACCTCCAAGCTAAATCTACACAGCGACTTGAACATGGGAGAAGCGCTTTACTCCAAAGGTTCATTTATGTACAGAAAATATAGGGTTTTTATAGTATTTTAGAAGTCCTTGGGTTTTCCTGAAAATTCTAGAATACTACTAAACATAATAGCAGTTTAACAATCAGCCAATCAGAAACTCTACATGTGACTTTTCATTTTCGCAATGTTTCTAGCAAAACTTCTAGTCAAACGCTGATTGGATAAAATGTCTCTTAATGTTTCCTGAGCTTGTCATGTCTATTGCGAGAAATTTTCAGGATCGCTCCAACATTTAAAAATACAATAAAATAATACAACCGGTATATAATTTACTTTACTTACTCCTGTTACCCCCAATGAAGCATAGGCCGCCGACCAACATTCTCCAACCCACTCTGTCCTTGACCTTCCTTTCTAGTTCTATACAATTCTTGTTCTTTTTTCTCATGTCTGTCTCCATTTCTCAGCGTAATGTGTTCTTTGGTCTTGAGGATTCCATGTGATGGCTTGTCTTGTGGCGCAGTTGTGTGCTTTCCTCAATATGTGTTTTATCCACTTCCAGCGCTTCTTCCTTATTTTCTCTTCAGCTGAAATCTGGTTTGTTCCCTCCCACAGTAGGTTGTTGCCGATAGTTTCTGGCCAACGGGTCCGAAGTATTTTGAGTAGACAACTGTTAATAAACACCTGTATCTTCTGGATGATGGCCTTCGCAGTTCTCCAAGTTTCCGTCCCCATACAGTAGAACTGTCTTGAAATTTGTATTGAAAATTCTAACCTTGTTGTTGGTTGACAATTGTTTTGAGTTGCGCGTGTGACGGAAGAGCCAGATGATCTGAGAAGTCTAGATCGTCCTGCTGCCTCCTAGCAACATCCCATGCCTCCCTCCAGATGTTGACGTATTCATGATCCAGTCGATCACCAGGAGAAAGAGAAAGAATGAGAGTAAGCAACCTTGCCTGATACCGGACTTTACTCCGAATGAGTCAGTGAGTTGTCCTCTATGCACGATTTTGCAGTTTAATCTGTTTCGAAGAGAACTATGAATGGTAACTTTGGGAACTATTTATGGACTAATATGGTATGTGTATTTCCTATTGTATTATTGTTAAGTAACTTAACTATTCATATTCATGTTCCTTTTATTATGAGCTTTATTTTGACTCATAGACTATTACTCTACTATTTACCATTCCTGAGTTATACCCAGTATATTAATTACTGTTCCCCCTATTCACAGCCACATTTGGCTAAATCCTGTACATATATTATTTTCTGTTTCATGGTACGATGTAGTCAGTTTGCCTTCGTATACAAACCCAGTATTTTTGAGAATAATGATTCATATTGTAGAGGCTGTTATTGGTGTTCTGGACTTAACTGGGTGGGCTAGACAGAAAGCAGGATTGATAAGTGCTCAAGACTGTTCGTACTGATTTCGCGTGTCATTGGGTCGATCAATAAAATCACTGCTCTCCAATTGGCAGTCTTATCACGTCATACGTTAACAGGGCACGCACTCACTGGATATAACATAATCCATCATAGGAATTTCGTATGATATTGACTATCTTAGGTATGCCGTAGTGTCGAAGAAGTCTCCATAGTGTTGTCCTGTCCACTCTACTAAATGCTTTCTCGCAGGCAATGAAGTTGATGTAGAGTGATGAATTCCATTCAATTGATTGTTCCACAATGATCCGTATTGTTGCGATTTGGTCGGTATACGATCGATTTTTACGGAATTCAGCCTGTTGGTCCTGATGTTGGGCGTCTACAGAGTCCTTCATTCTGTTTAACAATACCCTGTTGAAGACTTTTCCTGGTATTGAGAGAAGGGTGATGCCCCTCTAGTTATCACACTTGCTGAGATCGTCTTCCTTTGGTATTTTGATCAGGCGTCCTTCTTTCCAGTCTGTTGGTACCTGTTCTTCATCCCAAAGAGAATGTGGAGTATCTTTGCAGTTGCTACTACGTCTACTTTCAATGCCCCTGATAGAACGTTGTTTGGTCCAGCTGCTTTGCCGCTCTTTTTGTTTGTCTGATGGTCATGCTGATCTCTTCAATTGTTGGTGGGCCAACATCAATTGGGAGGTCTGCGGGTGCTGCTTCGATGTTGGGTGGGTTCAGTGGAGCTGGTCGATTTAAGAGTTCTTTGAAGTGTTCTACCCACCTGTTTCGTTGTTCTTCAATGTCGGTGATTACTTTGCCTTCCTTGCTTTTCACTGGTCGTGCTGGTTTACCGTAGTTTCCGGCATTTTCCTTTGTTGTGTCATACGGTTGTCTCATGTTTTTTTCTCTTGCAGCCTTTTCTGCCGTCATGATCAGTTTACTGAAAGCACACACGTTTGCAAACCTCTTACCGTTTTTGTTCCTTTCTCCCAGTCCATGTCGTCCCATGATGTCTTCATATCCGATGTTGTCCATTCCAATCTTGGCATTTAAATCTCCCATCACAATGGTCAGGTCCTTTGTTTGGCACCTCTCGACAATTGACTATAGCCCGTCGTAAAATCGATCTTAAACATATTCATTGTAGTCGTTGGTAGGCTCATAGCATTTTATGACGTTCATTGTAATGCCCTCTCTCTTTGTTTGAAGGAGGCTTTGATGATCCTTGGTCCATGAGATTCCCATTTTTGTACTCGTTTGGAAATCATCAATGCGACTCCTTGTGTATGTGGGGCATTTTCTTGTTCGTGTCTGGAGTATAACATAAGCTCCCTTGAAGCTAATCTTTGTTATCCAACCTGCATCCAATGTGTTTCACTGATCTGAAGCACCTCCACGTTGTATCTCCTTATTTCTGCAGCAATTTGGAAGATTCTCCCGGTCTCCCACATTGTACGAGCATTCCATGTACCTAGATAAGTGGTTGCTCTGGTTGTCAGAAGGGGCATGGACCTCGTGACTTCCGAAAGAACTCGACTTTCATCATGAGACGTCATAACTCTTCTAAATGAAGATCTGACTCCCGGGACAAAGTTTAAATGGTTTTAATGTTTTTTTCTACTTAGCGTTTTTTTGGCTAGGTAGTTTTCTACAGGATTGGGTTGCTAATCCCATGCACAACCCTCCTTTATCCGTGCTTGGGACTGGCAATAGCCCCCGGAGGGGTTGCAGGCGGAGTTACCGATATATTAACTGAATAAAAATAATTAATCAAGAGTAGTTGTCAAAATAGCAACGTAGTAATGTAGTGTTTTACTTATTTGATTACTTGAACACATAAATAATGGTACAAAGGGGCACCGAATAGATTGTAGAGGATTAATTCCTCTATATTTGACTCCAATAAATAAATATTATCCCGTTAACTGAATATTTAACGTAGGCTAAATCTAGTAGAATTATGGATTTACTCGAGATTATTCAAAAGCCCAAAGACCAGTTATAGAGAGTTTATTACTAAAGTTTGGTAAAATCCGCAAGCGTATAGATAGCAAACACACAGGGAAAATAAGTGTATATGTAAATGAGTGTTAAAAATCCATTTATATATTAATGAGTGTTAATGGATTGTGGATAAATTATTGATTGTCTTTGCTTACAATCAATGATAGAATAGATTATAGATTGATGTACAGACACGCACTCCATCAGACTCACATAAATTTACAAAGTGGGTTAAATGTCTAAATTACAGAGGGGACACAAATAATACAATAGTTGAATTTGCTCGCTACAACATACGCGCCACACAAGTCACTTGATTTGTGTATGGGCTTTGATACGTTCATACACCATTGGTTCGAAGTCAGGGTTTTCCAACTCCTTTAGGTCGATCCCCCGCATGCTTAGTATGATATGGATTTTCAGTATATATTTGTTTTTAATAATCGACCACTGGCAACACAGAATAGTCCTTATAGGTATCAGTTTCTGATTCGAATAAAAATTAAAATAAATTTTAATAAGTTGTTTGGTGTATTGTGTGTGCCACCTATTTGTTTTATCATTCTGAATAAAACACTGCTAATTATTTTCATTTCTAATGTATAGTGGTATGCAGAAATCTGGTAATCCTGTTTACTTATGGCCGGAAGGTTCTGATCATGAAGTTTCCAAACCTGATTCGTCATCTTCTGTTCCACAAAATTGACGGTAGGATGATTTGCTCCCGTTTTTTACAAGCTTATTATCTCTGTTTATTAACAACAAATTATGTTTTTGAAATGTTAGCGTAAAGTTTTTCTTCACAGATCTCTATTGTCTTGTTTGTCTACATACTAATCCTTAATTTTATGGGTCACTGATACTAACTCCCTGTCATCAACATTAGTCTTAACATTCGCTTTTTTCCCGTATCCGTCACAGATGCCTTGCTAGAAACTCAGTACACTAATCCATTTAAAGAAAAATGGCCATATCTGTTATATCCTAATGAAGATTAAACTATGGGTAATTTCTGAGAACTATTAATGGACTAATATTATATATTTATATTTTTATTGTATAACTATTCAGTAACTATATATATATATATATATATATATATATATATATATATATATATATATATTCCTCTTATTATAAGCTTCATTTTGACCTATAGATTATTATTATACGACTTACTGTTCTTAAATTATGTTCAGCTTATTAATTACCGTCTTTCACGTTCACAGACACTTTTTGGCTTGAGATTGTACAAATATTATTTTCTATTTTATGGTGTGATGCGGTCTGTTTGGGTTGTATGTAAACCAAGTGTGTTTGAAATAAATGATTCGCATAGTGGAAGCTGTAATTGGTGTTCTGAACTCAACTGGAAGGGCTAGGAGGATAAAGGACCAATAAGGATGCTAGGCTGCTCATACCAATCTAACGTCATTGGTTGAGCACAGTACAAAGATTGAATAAGTATTACGATTGGTGAATAAATCACGTAATAACTAGTCGGGCTTAAAGTCACAACAATATCCATAACAGCATCTGTTAGTTTGATGGACGGAGTGTCGGCTCAACTTCCATCTGTGATTTGAATGAAGCGAGCAATCGAACGCATACGACATGCCTTTCGGAAACCGTTATTAACACTGAGTTCAATGAAAACATCTACTCTACTGTCTGAATAAAACACAATACTGTAGAAATAAGATATTCTTCGTACCTGATAATGGATAAGGTTGTAAGTGACTTTCTGTTATGTCTGCTGGTCGATTGTTATGACTGTCGCCAGTTGTTACATCTGGCCGTCACTGGTTTTTATGTCGGAATCGCTTATCACTTATACTCGAAAACGAGGAACCACTGCAATTTCCACGACGTGAAAGTAAGAACACAAAGACTGGCACAAAGAAGATTTACTAACCACAAAAAACACGGCGACAACGACTCTAGTCGACACCTCAAGTGATGTCCGGTAATTCTGTCAATTATCCCCAATTCATTTCAGTTTCATCATAGACACCTACTGCTGTAAATAATATTCTCGTCGTCTGAATTTCCAGGAATCGATCTCCTACCAGGAGGTCCATTTATCGACTTGGAATACACAGATGATTTAGTCCTGTTTGGTGAATACACTGATAAAATGCAGTCTTTTGGTAGCACTTGGCAACAATGCCAGGATATTTGGAATGCATTTCTCCCCCTCTAAATGCAAATTGTTGCTTCAGGACTGGCCTATATCAACACCTGAACTGAGGACAGGGAGTGAAGTAGTCGAACGCGTCGACAACTTCATTTATCTTGGAAGTTTTTTCAGCCCTAAAGGAGTGGTGTCTGATGAAATCTCTGCACGGATCCAAAAAGCTCGTTTGACTTTTGCCAACTTACATCACCTATGGCGAAGACGAGATATCCGTCTATCAATTAAGGGACGAGTATACTGCGCAGCAGTTCGTTCTGTTCTACTTTACGGCTACAAATCGTGGCCATTAGGAGTAGAAGATACTTGTAGTTTACTAGTACTTGACCACAGATGCCTTAGAAATAATGCTTGCATCTGCTGGGATCACCGGTCAAGTAATAGTGAGGTTAGACGCAGGGTATTAGGGAATGATGGTAAATCAGTTGATGAGATCATGAATCTTCATCGACTAAGATGGTTAGGCCACGTGTTACGTATACCTGAACAGCGATTACCACGACGCGTAATGCTGATTTGTATTGGGAATGGTTGGAATAAAGTGGCCAAACCAAAACGTAGCATCAGTGTTTGAAGTCACTAACTTCTAGTATGAGCCATGTTGGTAGATGCAGACTATTTGGTCGGGGTCCGCATGACTATCGTAACCAATGTTTGGAGACTCTGGGTGACATGACTGAGAATCGATCACAATGGCGTAGGTGTATACACTCTTTGTCTGCTCCTAAACTATGAAATTAAAATTACCTTATACCTTTATTTCTCGAACTAACTTTTTTCCTGTACTATATTCTTATACGCAATCTTTCTTTTATATATTACTAACATCGAAGTAACTACTATAAATTTGGTGTTCATATTGTTGTGCTAATGAGGTGTAGAAACATGGACCGATGCATATATGTGTCTAGTCCTTCGTTGTAGCTTTGTGACTAAGTTACTGAGTTATCGTTGAATATTCTATAATTATTTTTGCTGTTCTATTCGTTGATTAGTAGTTTATTCATAAATTTATGTTTATTTTTACATTTACTATTTCCTTTGTCTTTCTTTTCACAGTTGATACATCAACTCACTGAATTTTATTGCGATTAGAAATACACAAGTTGGTGAAAATTTTTAATTCAAACGCTCACATGCTTCCACCTAACTAAATTGATTCATCTTACTGTGTATTATTCTGAGCTTTCCAATTGATTAAATAACAAACATTGATTCCACCAAGTAGCTTTTGCTCTGTAATTTCTCTCTCACACCCTCCGTCTATCACTGCATATATACATAAACATGAAAATTTCTTCCAAAACTCATTTGCACAGTTTTTGTCCCAGTTCCCTATTTAACATATACATTGAGAGTTGAAGACTGTGCACACCCCTGTGTGTATTAATTCCATTTATTTGTTATTACTTAGTTATGATGATGATAATGATAATAATAATAAAATACCTCTTCAAGTTTTTTTTCATCTCCATTCTAGTTGTTAATTCTGGTTATAAATTGTACAATTTTATGACTGATTAATTGATTGATTGTTATTACATAATCAACATTCGATTTTGATTTACTACTACTGCTTTGATCTTATGCTTTTTATGACACTGTTAGTCAACGACACTAAATACTCGGTGGTACTGTATTTCTGTTTAAAGAGCTCTTGATTGAGTTCATTCAGTGTCGTTGACTAACAGTGTCACATAAAGCATAAGGTCAAAGCAGTAGTAGTAAATCAAAATTGAATGTTGATTATGTAATACCAATCATATATATATATATATATATATATATATATATATATATATATATATATATATATATATATATATATATATATATATATATATTACTTTCATGATTCGTTTTCTCCTTGTTATTGCTTCTGGTTATTTGCTGGTATAGCAAGTGATCCTGCGATTTTTTAAGCTGTACTTCGTGTATCATCCCCTTCCCCAATACTAAAACAACCTTTTGTCTTCCTCATCTATCCTTTCTTTCCCGGTACACGCCGATGAGTGCCATAATGCTTCTTTATAAACAGGCGAAGATTTCTTGTTTTCATATGTCATATCCACGGTACCCAGTACATAAACCTCTTGTTACTTTTTTTTACAGTTTTACTGTTGTTCGTTCAATTCACTGATGTTTTGTCATATATTTATGCGTGTGCCTGTACGTTTGCCTGCATTTTATGTACTTGTAGGTTATGTGAAAAGAACAAGACTATTGAACTTTTGTCTGTCATATATCTCAATCGGTCATTTCATCATAATAATGATAGTAATCATTACTATTATTATTAAACGTTTGATTAATTTATTCTCCCATTCTCTTCTCTTTATTTACATAGCTCCGTTTAACTCATATCTTCCATTGTCTATAATTTATCTATGATAAGAGAAATAAAGATTCATTAGTAATAATAGTGATGACAATAATTGTCTTTTTATATTACACTTGTTGACCTGTACGCTGACTTATCCTTATTATGTATGAACTGTTCTAAACGAATTGAAGTACATAATTTACAAACTGTTAAGTTGTGTGTTCCTTCTTTATTCTTAGTGTCAGCTTTGTTGTATCCATAGTCCTATTGCATATACTCAGAAACGGGAATCACTGCAGTTCACATTACGCAAAATCAATACACAAAAACTGGTACAAATGTACATTTATTGACTTTCTAAAAACACTTTTCAAACTAGTCCAAAAACGTCATTCAACCAAGTGTGTTTAATTAAATACTCATTTTATACACACTTGACAATTAGTTAATGAGTATAGTTTAAATGAAAAGAATACCACCCAAATGCCCTGGTACGGCCGAGAGTGGGGAGAGTCACCTCTCCCTCTCGAAATGCTCTCATATGGCCAGCGAATATATAGCCTCTGCCAGAGAAGTCCTACTCACTGCCTTCTCGTGGCAGGAGGGTTGTTTACGAAAGTGAGAGGACGAAAAGCGTATGTCCGGCGCTTTAACCGGGTTGGTGGACATGGAGGATCCACCTAGGGGAGTTGGAAAACCCTGATTCCAAACCAATGGTGCACATGGGCTCCAGTATCCTGAGGGAACAAATGGCGTACGAATCAACCGTTGATCACCGGCTACCATGGGACTGCATCTCCTCACGACGCTCCACTGCCTTGTGGACCAGACCTTTAGGTCAAAGGCTCGGGGTGTGGCCCCCTAAGAAAACCATCTGCTTCAGTCTGGGCACCTGGACAGTATCACAGCCCTCACACAAATCGAATGAGTTTTGTGAGGCGCATATTTATCTGGTGCTTCCTTGTACCAATATTTATGTGTTTAAATAATAATAAAAATAAATGAAAAGAATATTACAAGGAGTCTGTCACGCTGAGGGTAAGTTCACATTTGTCATGCTGAACGAAATCGCTATGAAACGAACTGATCTGAAATAATGTTACGTTGGGAAATGCAAACCCAGTATCATACTGACTAAAATGTTACACAGAGAATGTTATATGTTACATCGAGTCACGAGAAACGTGAATGATGAAATTTCTCGCGAATTCGACTCAACATTGCCATTAATATCATAAGAGATCTGCATTACTTTTTGGAGTTCTAGTGAGAAGCAGTAACCGGTGGAGTTCAACCAGGTCTGTTGTGAGATAGGAACTCACTGATGACATTGGTGAATGGTTGCTCAATTTCGTGAATCAATTGAAGCTAGACATTAACACCGTTGGATGCCAGCTCAGTGGTCTATCGGTTAACGGCTTCGGCTCGAGACTGGTAGGTCCTGGGTTCGAATCCCGCGAGAGTGGGTTCGTGGGTGCGCACTGCTGAGGAGTCCCGTAATAGGACGAAACGGCCGTCCAGTGCTTCCAGGTTTTTGATGGTGGTCTAGCTTCAAGTGACTCATGATCTCAACTCTATAACGTTAAAATTGTTTAAAAAAGGTATATGTGTTAATGTGTCATAGACTTCTGATGTAAAACGCAGTGTTTAAGATAACATTGTATATATACGTAATTGGTGAGATGAGAAATTCCATTCACTATATATTGTCTCCTGCCGGTGAATTTTTTAGAAAACATACAATTTTTAATATATGATATCATATATGTCACGGCATGCACAAAAAAAGATAAATAAATAAAAGAATGAATTCAAAGAGGAAGAATGTATTCGTGACTGAATATTTGTTAATTCAATGTCCCAGTTAATTGTTTAGCAAATTTAGATAAGACGACTGATTGGAATCATTGAATGTAATTGTTGTCACTCAGAAAATACGAGATAGATAAAATGGAAAAGGAGTTCCCATCTCACCACTTACGTATATATACAATATGTTATCTTAAGCACTTTTCGTTCCACATCACAAGTCTCTTACGCATTTATACATATACCTTTTTTAAACATATTTTTAACGTTGATTGGATGACCTATTTAGTATACAATGAACCGGAGAACCATGTACCGATTTATATTCGATAATTTTGATTATATTTCCTTGAAAAAAACTTGGACCAACCAAACGTTGGATTTACTTCAAATTCATTCGCTGAGATTTTACAAATATATTCTTCCTATTTAATGTCACACAGTAAGTAGATTGTAAGTTGGATACAATCGGGAAATGCTAATTCGTCATGAATGCATTTGTTTCTTATTAAAATTTGAACGGAATTATTATTTTTGGTCTGTTATTATCAATTTAATTGGAAGAGAAGGATTAATACTAATCAAAGTTATTATTCGAAAATCAATCAGTTGCTACGTTGCATAATATATAAAAAAGAGAAGAAAGAACTAACAAAATATTTTGATGAATGGTCAGTAATATAGTAGTTATGTAAGAATCAAGAGACGAATGAAGAGAATAAGTAAAATACAAAAATGGAAGGAATAAGATAATTGTTTACCGAAATTATGCTACAAACTCCGCTATACCGATGACCAAGGTAGCGAGAGTGGTTGTGCAAACTTCTTTTGAATACAAAGGTTCGGTTTGTGAATATGAATTGCGATGGCTTCAGCTATGTGCAATAGACGAGCTCGTAAACCATATGGAAAATTTGATGGAATATGGTAGATAACCTTAAAAGCTTTATTCAGTTCAACCTGTGTCCACCAAGTAAGCGAGAATAGAACTCTTAATCCCCTTTACCTGTCCTTTGGTCGTAGTTGACCAAAGGACAGGTAAAGGGGATTAAGAGTATTCTAGTGAATAATTACAATAGTCCTTGTTTTGTTACCAAAAAGGTTCTAGACCTAAATTGTTTTTTTTCGATTTTTCTTTAATAGTATTTCCGTCAATTATCAGTAGACGCTGAGGACGAACAAACAAAGTTGATAATACTTAAATCATTCATTATACAACAACCCAACATAACTATATTACTTTCCAACTCAATAACATGGTGGAAGTAGGTTCCTCCATTTCTTATTTTCCTTTTTAAAGATGTTGAAAAACTGCTTCACCGTTAAATTGTCTATTTATCAATAGTTTTGTTTAATTAATGGATTTAATGAACTATTACTAACATTTTTCCTAGATGAAATTATTATGACACTCGGTGTCCATGTCTATTGCTGATACCCAGACGTCGCGCATGTGAATCTTCCTGCGATTACTGAGTGAGAAGAATAAGATTAAAGAAAAAATTCATTTTGTATTGTTTGTTTGAATCTTCCCACTAATGTTAAGGACTGCAGTTGATCAGTCTCTTATTGGCATATGTGTATCCTGTACGGATTGACTCGATATTGCCTTAAGTCACAAGCATTATAAGGAAAGAAGTTTGTTAGGCTAAACCATATATATATATATATATATATATATATATATATATATATACTCAGAAAATAAAATTATTTCTTACCCCATAACGTCCACTTGTCATTAGGAGACCTTTGATTGATCCAGTGTAACAGAAATATATGAATTATATTGTTACTTTGTGGATTTCAATGAATCAGATATCAACTATTTAATTCATATGAATATGATCATACAAATCAGTATGTTTTATTAACACAATATTAGGTTGAGATAATCTCATAATGTAAAATTATTGTTGAGTAAATGACGAATATTGTTTCGACTGACCTCCTTAGGCCTGAGGTATTTAGAGACGTTTTGGGATTAGATATTAACTGATGTTATTTTTGTCTAGGCCTTCCAATTATATTGGTCAAGTTGCAAATATGATCAGTTTTATTTGTGTGATTATCACTCGTCATTTTATGTCAAATATTTTCACACTTAATCATATCTTAATATTAAATTGACCTGATTACTATACTCTATCTTCATTGAAGTATGAAAGAGATTGTTAGCTCAGTCATTACAAATTTGCTGTCTGATTGATTTCGATATGCTGATCAAATTTTTAACACAATTCTCTAGAGAATGAATTATTGTAATCATGTGAATGTCCAAATTAATATAGTTGGTTTGATAAATATTTTAAACACTGTCTAGAAATAGCCTGTGTGCTTAATCTGGCGAAAAATTACTGTAACATCATATTACTCTATGAGCATTAAAATTATAAACCACTGACTTAAAATTTAATGACTAACATTTCTGAGT